GTGGTCGTGGTCGTGGTCGTGGTCGTGGTCGTGGTGGTGGTGGTGCCTCGCTTAACGGCAATAATCCGTTCCAGGAAAATCGCTGTTAAGCGAAAAGATCGTAAAGCGAAAATAAAAAGCCCATTGAAACGCATTGAAAACCGTTCAATGCGTTCCAATGGGCTAAAAACTCACCGTCCAGCAAAGATCCTCCATACGGCGGCCATTTTCGGTGCCTGTATAGCGAGGAATTCATCCCTAAACACAGCGGGGAGCCATTTTAATTACCCAGTGGCCATTTTTGAAACCGCCAATCAGCTGTTAAAAAACATCGTTTTGCAAAGAATCGGTTCCCGAAGCAGGGAACCGATCATCGCAAAGCGAAAAAAGCCTATCTATACCATCGTTTTGCGATTGCTTTTGCGATCGTAAAAACGTCGTCGTGAAGCGGATTCGTCGTGATGCGGGGTAATCGTAAAGTGGGGCACCACTGTATTAGTATTAGTATTATTAGTATAATTAGTGTTGTTGTTGTTGTCAGGAACACAGCGGGTACTAACCATCATTGCCCATGTGTGTGCCATAGAGTTTGACATTCTCCTACTGCCCAGAGGATTTTGTTCAATGCTACTAATTCAGGTTGTCTGTGATGAAAGATCTACATTATTGCAGAAAGACACACTAGAAATACAGCCTTCTACAGATACAGCCATGGCCAAAAATATTGGCACCTTTGCAATTCTGTCAGAAAATGCAACCCTTCTCTCAGAAAATTGTTGCAGTTGCAAATGTTTTGGTACTCACGTGTTCATTTCTTTCATTGGACAATTTTCTGAGAGAAGGGTTGCATTTTCTGACAGAATTGCAAGGGTGCCAATATTTTTTGGCCATGACTGTACTTCTCAGTTATTATTCCATTACTTCACAATCCCACCCACTCCTTGCAAAAGTGGCAGATCTTAGGGAAATAAACAAGTATATCAAGGTGGAAAAGTCTGAATTGTAAAGTAGCATTTATCCTCTACTGCTGAAATTGAATACTGGTTCATTCAGAGATTCATTTCATATTTTAATATGGCCATGTCATCATCATCATCCTACATATTGCACTTGAACAAAGTAATTTTCAGTTTAACGTGCTTCCATTTGGTTTGACAGTGGCACCTCTAGTGCTCATCAAGTGTATGTCGAAAAGTCACACCTTCAGATATGACAGAGGATAAAATACGTTTGACTCAACATTGTACGTACTGCTCTGTTCAGCAGTAGGATGCTTCTTCTTGCATATGGTTTAGGCTTAAGTAGTTATTGTTTTGGCAGTAAAAGGTAAAAGTTCCCCTTGACATTTAGTCCAGTCGTGTCCAACTCTAGGGCGCAGTGCTCATCCACGTCTCTAAGCCATAGAGCCAGCATTTGTCCATAGACAGTTTCTGTGGTCACGTGGCCAGTGTGACTAGACACGGAACACTGTTACCTTCCCACTGAGATGGTACCTATTTAGCTACTCGCATTTACATGCTTTCAAACTGCTAAGTTGGTAGGAGCTGGGCCAAGCGACAGGAGCTCACTCAGTCGCGTGAATTCGATCTTACGGTTGCTGGTCTTCTGACCTTGCAGCACAGAGGCTTCTGCAGTTTAACCCACAGTGCCACCACGTCTCCTTTTTTGGCAGTACTAAACTGCAAAAATTACTCAGTCTTATAGCTACAACCACTGCAATAAGGCCATAACACCATGAACTCTACAATCATAGTTCCTTGCTTATTACATTTAGAGTTTTGAAAACCCACACAAATTTGCATTGCCTTTCTTGATATGCCAAGACCTACTGGACATTACAGACCAGCATCTGGTTCCTTCTTGGTATGGTTAATAAAGTAACAGGGAAGGTTTTTTTTCCTGCTCCTCTGCTCTTTTTGCAGCCCAAGTTCCCATGATATGCTTGCTATCCAAGCATTACACAGATGATTTATATGAAGGTAGCTAGAAGAAGAAAAAATGTTACATCATGTGATTTCATGCCATGTCATTACTGACATTTTTTAAAATTCCATAAGCCATATTGGAGCAATACTCTTATTAGATCAACTCAATCATTTTTAAAAAAATGCACAACAGGTTTAAATCACCAGTTCACTTCATGAGAGAATATGCTACAAAATAGACAGGTTATGACAGGAAAAAAGCAGAGAAAGATTTAATTGATGATAAAGTCAAGAAGTCTTCATGGTAAGATGAAACGGGATAGGTAAAAGTTGTAGGCATTCAAAATAGGTTGGACCACGGGGTGATGGCTGCAGAGGATCAATGGACTGCACCCACTGTGTTTTCCACCACCATCAGATGCACGTATGGATATGTTTGATTGTTTGTTTTAGGGGAAAACACTTTGGAAGTTTTTAATGTGGGCTCCCCATGCCTGTTAAATGGAGAATCATACACCGTCATTCCTTCATTTTTTTTATTAGATTCTTTTATTAGATTTTTTTATTTT